ACATTGATAGATTTTCTAATGTTGAACCATCCCTGCATTCCTGGGATGAAGCCTACTTGATCATGGTGGATGATTTTTCTGATGTGTTCTTGAATCCAGTTTGCGAGTATTTTATTGAGTATTTTTGCATCGATGTTCATGAGGGAAATTGGTCTATAGTTCTCTTTCTTAGTTGTGTCTTTGTGTGGCTTGGGTATCAAGGTAATTGTAGCCTTGTAAAAAGAGTTTGGCAGTGAGCCTCCTGCTTCTATTGTGTGGAATACTTTGAGGAGTATTGGAATTAGCTCTTCTTTGAATTTCTGGTAGAATTCTGCACTGAAGCCATCTGGGCCTGGGCTTTTTTTGTTTGGGAGACTTTTGATGACTGCTTCTATTTCATTAGGGGTTATAGGTCTGTTTAGATTGTTTATCTGTTCTTGATTTAGTTTTGGCAAGTGATATCTATCCAGGAAATTGTCCATTTCCTTTAAATTTTCAAATTTTGTGGAGTACAGATTTTCAAAATATGCCCTGATGATTCTCTGGATTTCCTCAGAGTCCGTTTTTGTGTCCCCTTTTTCATTCCTGATTTTGTTAATTAGCATGCTCTCTCTCTGTCTTTTGGTTAGTTTGGACAGAGGTTTGTCTATTTTGCTGATTTTCTCAAAGAACCAACTCTTTGTTTCATTGATTCTTCTCAGTGTTTTCTTGGTTTCTACTTGATTGATTTCAGCCCTCAATTTGATTATTTCCTGGCGTCTGCTCCTCCTGGGGCAGTTTGCTTCTTTTTGTTCTAGAACATTCAGCTGTGCTATTAATTCTCTAGTATGACTGTTCTCCAGTTTTTTCATGTGGGCACTTAGTGCTATAAACTTTCCTCTCAGCACTGCTTTCAAAGTGTCCCATACGTTTGTGTATGTTGTGTCTTCATTCTCATTGAAATCGAGGAAGCCTTTAATTTCTTTTTTTATTTCTTCCTTTACCCAGGGATGGTGCAATTGTGCATTGTTCAATCTCCATGAGTTTGTAGGGTTTTTGCGATTTGTGTCATTGTTGAATTCTAATGTTAATGCATGGTGGTCTGATAAGATACAGGGGGTTATTCCAATTTTTTTGTATCTGTGGAGATTTGCTATGTTTCCTATTATGTGGTCAATTTTAGAGAAGGTTCCATGTGGTGCCGGGAAGAAGGTATATCCCTTTGTATTTTGGGTGGAATGTTCTATAGATGTCTGTTAGAACCAGTTGGGTCATAACTTCTATTAGTTCTTTTGTTTCTTTGTTAAGTTTCTGTCTGGAGGCCCTGTCTAGCAGTGAGAGCGAAGTGTTGAAGTCTACTACTATTAGTGTGTGAGATTTTATGTGCATTTAGAACTTTAGTAATGTTTCTTTCACAAATGTAGGTGCCTTTGTATTTGGGACGTAGATGTTTAAAATTGAGACTTCATGTTGTTGTACTTTTCCTTTGATGAATATGAAGTGTCCTTCTTCATCTCTTTTGATTGATTTTAACTTGAAGTCTAATTTGTTAGATATTAGGATTGCTACACCCGCTTGTTTCTTGGGACCGTTTGATTGGAAGATCTTTTCCCAACCCTTTACTCTGAGATAACGTCTGTCTTTGATGTTGAGATGTGTTTCTTGTATGCAGTAGAAGGAAGGGTTCTGTCTTCGTATCCATTCTGCTAGTCTGTGTCTTTTTATAGGGAAGTTGAGGCCATTGATATTGAGGGATATTAATGACCATTGATTGATGATTCTTGTTTGTGCTTGATTTATTGTTAGTGAAGTTATTTTGTGTACTTTCTCCTCCCTTTTTCTTTTGGTGTTTTGTAAAGTGGGATTATATATTGCCTGTGTCTTTGTGAATGTAGTTATCTTCCTTGGATCTAGGTTTTCCTACTAGCACTTTCTGTAGAGCTGGATTCATGGATACGTATTGTTTAAATCTGGCTTTGTCATGGAATATTTTGTTTTCTCCATCTATGGTAATTGAGAGCTTTGCTGGATATAGTAGTCTGGGATGGCATCCTTGTTCCCTTAGCATTTTTATGACATCTGTCCAGGATCCCACACAGGAAAGACATCAGCCCTTCCAAGACCCCAACCCCAGTGAGTCCAGCTTCAGGAAAAGCATCAGCCCTTCCAGGCCCCAAACTCCATGTCAGCATCCCCAGCTTCAGCTTCAGGAAGGAAGGAGACCAGTGGAGACGGAAAGACCCCACCATCAACCACTGGAAGAAGAGATGGGAAGAAGACAGAAAAAGAGCTCACTCAGCAATAGAAAGACCAACATGACCCCACCAGAATCTAGGGATCCAACACCAGTAAGACCCGAAAAGCACTACATAGATGAAGAAGAGGAGACAGACCTTAAAAATTATTTCATGAAGATGATGGAGACCCTCAAAGAAGAAACGAGGAAATCCCTTAAAGAAACAGAAGAAAAAACAAACAAAAAATACATGAAATGGGGGGGAAAAATTCAAGAAATAAACAAATCTCTCAAAGAATCTAAAAAGCACCAAGAAAAAACAACTAAAAAATGAAGGAAACAACTCAAACAGTTGAAGGATTGAAAGCTGAAATAGAAACGGTAAAGAAAACACAGAATGAAGGGATGCTGGAAATAGAAAAGCTGGGTAAATGATCAGGAACTACAGATGCAAGTATCACCAATAGAATACAAGAGATAGAAGAGAGAATCTCAGGTGTTGAAGACTCATTAGAGGATATAGAGTCGTCAACCAAAGAAAATCTCAAAACCAACAAATCCTTAACACAAAATATCCAGGAAATATGGGACACCGTGAAGAAGCCAAACCTGAGAATAATAGGTATAGAAGAAGGCGAAGAAATACAACTCCAAGGTACAGATAACATATTCAACAAAATCATAGAAGAAAACTTCCCTAACCTAAAGAATGATATGCCTATGAAAGTACAAGAATCTTACAGAACACCAAATAGGCTGGACCAGAAAAAGAAGTCACCTCGCCATATAATAATCAAAACATCAAACCTACAGAGTAAAGAGAAAATATTAAGAGCAGCTAAAGAAAAAGGCCAAGTAACATACAAAGGCAGACCTATCCGAATTATACCTGACTTCTCAATGGAAACGATGAAAGCCAGAGAAGGATTCTTGATGTGGTTCTAAAAACACTTTAAAGTGTGAATTTCCTGGACTCCGGGCATCCATATCAAAGACAACCGAGCTAGACACATGCTTGTTAGTTTTTTTTTTTGTTGAGTTGACACAGGCTAGAGTTATTTGGGAAGCAGAACCTCAACTGAGAAAATGCTTCCATCATAATGCTTATAGGCAAGTCTGTAGGGCATTTTGTTGATTAACGATTGATGTTGGCTGATCCAGCTGGAGATTTTACCATCCGTTGAGAACTGATCCTGAGTTGTGTAAGTCAGGTGGCGGCACAAGCCATGAGGAACAAGCCAGTCAGCATCACTCCTCCATAAACTCTGCTTAGGTTTGTACAATAAGGTTGTTGCCTTAAGTCTCTGCTGTGATTTCCCTCAGTGATGGAGTATGACCCAAATATAAGCACATGTAAACTTATTCCTCCATAAGTTGCATTAATCATGGTGCTTTATCATAGCAATAGAAACACTAAGGCACTTGGTAAATGTGGACAATGTATTTTATCTATCCAACTAAGGGGGTCATCACCAGTAAAGTATATGCTAATATTGTGTCTTGAGTAGAACACATCACACAATATGCACGTGTGATGAATGAGAGGAAAAGGAGAGAGAAAGAAAAATGAAAGAAGTGAGCTGTCAGCAGTTTATGCAGTGTTAAGATTGCTCCTCTTTCTTTCTGTGGGATTACCTTGACCTGCTGTGTAGGACAAAACAGTTTTTCTTCTTTTTTCTTCTGTTCTCACACTCTGAAAACAGAGATCATTTTCATGTCCTCAAGAGATACGAGGATTTTTTCCTGCCAGCAGGTAAGCAATCAGTTCTACAGTAGATACCAGCTGAGTTTCTAAGTCAAATCAGCTCTGTCTAACTGGATATAGTAACAGAGGCCCTAAATTGAGATCTTAGATCCCAATATTATCTGTAAAACACATTTTACATACCAGTCACAATCCCTAAGCTGGACCTGTGCTTTTCACTACCTGATTATAAATCAGAGTTCTTATACCCCTTACCTCGGTTTTGATTACTATGTTGTAAGCGCTCGAAGGACTCAGGGAATTATGTTTACTGCTTCATTGTAAAGGATATTGCAAAGGATACAGCCCAAAATATACAAAGGGTGATGTATGGGGACAGAGCACAGAATTTCTTTGCCCTCTCCTGGGTGATCCAACTTTTATGAACCTGCACATGTTCAGCTATCTGGAAGTCTCTGAACTCCAATATTTTTGGTTTTACATTAACTACTTTTCTTGTTTCTGTGACAAAGTGTTTGACAAGGAGACATTTAAGGAAGGAGGGCTTATTCTCTCTGACTCTTTTGACTGCTCTTCAGATCATTTTCCTCCTATTGGGTTGTCTCACCCAGCCTTGATAGGAGGGTTTGTGCCTAGTCTTACTGCAACTTGTTATGTCACATTTGGTTAGCATTCCTTGAAGGCCTGCTCTTTTCTGAAGTGAAACAGAGGAGTAGTTAATCTGGGAAGACGTAACAAGAGGGGAAAGACTGGGAAGAGAGGAGGGAGGTGATACCATGATCAGGATGCAATAATGAGAGAATAAAAACCAAACTATACACAAAAAATGGAATAATACAAAGACTACATAATTTATAACATTAAACCTGATTTCTTAGATGAAGGTGATGCTGTGGTAATGATTTCAAGCGTTTCATTCTCCATACTGTTTCCATTGCTCAGCTGAGACACCGAAAACTAGTTAATTCAGTGGGAAAAATATCATTTGAGGAAATTACCTTCCCCAAGGCCTAGATGATGAACCAATAACAGCTTCCCAGTCCAACTTTTTCATACTATCCATATTCACAAAAGTCACTTTAGAAAGGAGGCTTCTCTTACCAGAGTGGGAGGAGGAATGAGATGTATTGATAGCATGGAGTCTCAAGTGGCTCAGGATACAAGTAAGGGTTCAACGAGGGTTTCTTCAAAGAATGCCACAAATCTAGTATCCTGATGTGGTTGGGGCAAAGAATTCTGAAAGGGAATCAGAACAGGAGTTTGTCTTGATGCACAAAATATATAGAGGCTGCTGTGAATTCAATTTTAAAATTACAAAATAATATTTTCTATGAATATTTTAGTTCATTGTTGACTTTTGAGGTTCATTATACATATACTAAAATATTGAATTTTATGATTACTTTATGCAATTATGCATATATGAGGCGTGTCAAACTCCTTAAAATTGTGGGAGATGTGCATGAGGAATAAGAGATAAAATTGGTCCTCCATTTATTTTTCAGCTTTGCATGATGTAGAATTCAATGATTCAAAATGACAAAAGGCTCATCTTGTTTTCAAACGGAAGGTGAAACTCAACATCAATACATTATTTACATAGCTGCATTCTTCTGAAAGGTATCAAAACATTTTGAGGCTATTATAATTATTTTCATAATGGAGGGGGTAAATGGTGTCGAATCCTATTTTGTTCCATACAAAGAAACTTGGGGGAAAGTTATTATTAACAATAATACAATAGATATTTTTTTACAGTCATCTTTCCCAAATGAGATTATAATAAGGTTTTCTGTGTTTCACAGTGTTGCTATGAGGGCATGTACAAGGCAGGTCTCAAGTCACTTCAGATCATGGAACTCACATCATAGTGAAGCAAACTATGCATAAATTACTCCCTTCATGTACCCATCCATTTTGCTACAAGTGTGTCTCCTCAAACTCACTGTAGCTATCTCTTGATGATGCAATTTCAGTAAAACTATCAAATTGGATGTCTTTCAGCCAACTCTTGATCAATGGAAGCCAGAACTGATGCATATGTGCCTCTTACTCAAGTCTGGGCTGACAGTTTTGAGGCATGCTCCTTTAGGTTCCTCACATTTTAGCTAACCACAGAGATTCTTAACCTAAGAATTTCTTGGATGCATTTAATTTTCCTCTTTTCCAATGGTATTATGCTAAGCCATTCTCCTGTTTCTTGGAATCACTTCTGTTTCCAAGTACTCTACTCCCAAGCATTGTTTCAGTATAAATAAGGACAGGCTAGAATGATAAGAAGCTACACATATAAGAGAATTTGATAACCACAAAGTGCTATGCAATGCAAGCATTATTATGACTAACATAGTGTTAGAAGTACTCATCCAATTATAAAACCATAATTAACATCTATAATGAAGGTATTTCAAAATAAAAAATGGTATAGAATTCTGAGTCCCCAAATCAATCATAGATCAACAGTATTCTTTTCCATAGAGGAGCACAGGATTTTCTCAGCAAAACTCAAGCATAGGGAGCAACTAAGAGACTTAATTTCCAACACTATCTTCATTTCTGTATGTATCAACTCTTAAAATTCTCTACCCATGTACACAAATAAAGTAAAGTTGGCCTCTACAGTATCTCTTCCCATTATTTTCTTCACAGTTACACTACCAGATACATCAGAGAAAGCAGAACATGTATTCTAAACTTTACAATGTGGTATTCTTTCATTTTGCTAATATTTAAAAATGATAGCAATATTGCCGGAGAAGTACTTTTGAGGGTCAAACACAGAAAGCACTGTTAGAGTTTTGTAGTCTTACATACTGTTAGCTCTGCATCTTCTCTCCATGAGTTGTTATTTTCCCCAAAGAAAAAACAAATGCCATCATAAAAGTAGAACATACATTTATATAAAAGTGTAGGACATAATGTTTCTAAAATACTACTGAGAATGTGGTGCCCAGAACTCTAGAAAACCAGTTCAACTGGGAACGTTTCCCACTCAACTGATTCTCTGCACTAATTATGTTAAATGTATAAGTACACAGAATGACATTAAATAATAAAAGATAATTACTAGTGTATTTGTGCATTATATTTGTCAGATATCTTTAACATTGTCTAGAATGAAATTTAAAGTCATAAGATTTAGATTAGAAACTAAAATATGCCATGTGTGTATATCTCTTTATACATTTACAATCACAGGAAAACTTCAAATGCATCAGTTCCAATTCTTTAGTTTGCTTTAAACATTTTTATTAGCATGTTGGGAGCAGGGGCAGGAGAAAGCCTGGTACTCACCTCTCTGAGTGGAGGAAGGGTCAAGGCTCCAATGAGGGCAGATGCAGTGCTGGATGGTTTGGGGCTGCCCCCAGGTGTCTGGGTGTTCGGTGGGCATGGAGGCAATGTGCCCTACTCAAAGGCCTACAATGGTTGCAGGGGGGGTGCATGAGAAGGAGAGTGCAGATACTCTCCTCTCCTGGTCCTTATTTTTCTTTAGATATAATTGAAGTACCATAATATGAACATATTCTAGGATAAGTTTTGACAAAAATTTATTCTCTTGTAACTACTACTCCATTCAAGTCAAAGGACACTGGTAGTACCCCAAAAGTTTCCCTTGAGTCAATGCTGTCACTTACTTGCAACCATGACTTTCACTTGTATAATCACAAATTTAATTCACCATGGTACTGAACTTTGTATAAATGGAATCATTCAGTGTGTACTTTTTTATGTCATGGGTTTCATTCCATGTGATTTTTTTAGGTTCTTCCACAGTTTTAGATTTATTAGTTATTTAAAAATGCTGTGTTCTACTGTGTATGAATATATATAATATACTTATATATATGAATATATATTCATGCACTGTTCATAATAATATGCCTAGATTTTTGAATTTTGAGTCTTTATAAATAAAATGGAAATAAACATTCACTACAAGTCTAGATATATGTGTTCATTTCTCTTGGGTAAATATCTAGCATCAAATTGGTTGGACTTTACAATAGGCAAATTTGTGCTTTACCAGAGATTATCAAACTGTTTCCAGAGCAGTTGAAGCAATTTACAATTCCAACAGCAGAATATGGAAACTCCAGTTGTTCTTCATCCTGCTCTTCACTGATCTTGTCTGTCTTTTTGGATTTTAGTTATATGTTGGATATATAATGGTGTTTCATTGCAGTTTTAATTTCTCTATTGTCTTTTGCCATTCCGTTTGTAATTTTGCTTGTAAAATGACCTAATTTAGGAATTAGTAGCATTTCTCTATGCAGGAAAAATCAAATTGTGGGAAATTATGCAAAAACTAGGCTAAGAGGAAAAAGTCCAGGAAGAAGTAACCCTACATACTCCTGTTTTTCATAAACTTCCAAATACTTTACCATCAGACACCAAGGGAGGAAATCACAGTGTTTGATTCTACATATAATAGTCACCATTCTCTAAGTCCAAGCCTTTACTGACACTTTTTCCCAGTATAGTGCTGGGGATAGAATCTAGGGACTCCTGCATTCTAATCAAACATTCAACCACTGAGTTACATCATCAATTATTACAGGCCTTTTAATAGGTAGCCTCTACATGTAGATTGTACAACATAGCTGAAGATATGTTCACTGTTTAGAAAGTAATATAAATGTATATATAATGCACACACATACATACATACATATTTATATGTTTCACCAAAGGCAGCAATTGTCTCATAACAGAAGCTGTATCAGTCAGTGTAAAGCATAAATCCAAACTACATGACTCACAATCTGAAATATTTTGCTTGGCTTTCATTGTGTAGTAGATTTAAATTAGGCAATCAATTGTAAAAAATAAACAGACAAATAAGACTTTCACTTAAACATCATTAACATCTATGTGTAATCCACTGGATCAGCCGGCCTAATTACTGACTATATTGTTTTGCTCTCATGGAGGCTTGGTTTCATGTTTTCCGTTGCCAGATTCATATTGCCCACTTGTTCTGTCCATGTAACAATTAAACTTGTGTCCTGATACAAAATGTTTTTTTACCAAATATATAGCCTCAACACTTTTCAGACTATTATTTACTAATTACACAAATGGAAGTGAGGATCAGGAGGAAAGGTTGAGAGAGGGTGTTATGTGTCCTAATGTGTTTGTTTGTTTGTGTGCAAGTAAGGATTGTGAGTGGCTTAGATGACAAGAAAGGGAAAATCCTTGGATTGTTTTCCTTAACAGCTCCTTAATGTTGTGCAGTTACAGATATCCTTGGTATAATTTTACATGTAATAAATATGCAGAACTAGTATTAACTGGTGGAAAGTGGTCCCTTCCTAATTAAAGAACCAGCAGTGCACTGTGAAAAAGAATTTTGGAAGGTGTTAGAATATCAGAGAACTGTGGTAGCATGTGCTTATGCAAGAGACAAGTGAATGTAGACAGTCCTTTTTTTTTTTAATGAAAGCAGGCTTTTGGAAAACATTTCATTCTTGGAACTGTAAGTGGATTTGTTTGTTCTCGATTCATTTCAAGGTCACTCACCTTCCCAGCTAACATCTGGGTGGGGCAATAGTATTGACTGATCTGGTTGACCTTTCAAATCTAAGATCAGGGGGCCAGTATTTCAGTGTTCATATACCCATAGATGACAGAAGACAGGCTAATATCAAGATCTCTGAGCACCATCCTGGTCCTAAATTTATATTTCTATAAGTTCCCTGATACTTACCAATGTAGTTGGGTCAAAGTTCAACTAATAGTGAAATTCTTAAGTGCTGATGAAAAGGTATAATTCACTGGATTTAATGTTTTGTGCTCAGGAGGATTAGACATAATCCAATGAACTTAATTGCCTGTTCTTAACATATGCCTCTTGTTACTAATTGCCCTGAATTTTTCTATAAACAATTCAGGAATTTAAAGTTTTTAATTCTGAGACTTTTTGAACCATTAAGACAATCAGTGGAGAATTAGCTGAACTGAACTTGACTGAGATCTAAGTCAAGTTATTTCTTCTTGTGTTGTCACTGCAGCAGCTACTTGCAAGTGTTTCATTCTGAGGTTTTCTGGACAAAAGTCTGAGACAGAATAGAAAGTGTAGTGCTTGCGAGTTATTGCCTGCCACTGATATACAGCAGGACCAAATTGACTCTAAGATTGGACAGGGGAATTTGGTAGAACAGCAAAGATAGTCATTTCACTCCTTGGTGAATTAAAATGTAGGACTTTGATATGTCAGAGCCTTGGTCAAGAATCTGTT